GCAAATGCATTAAATGGGCAGAAAATAAAAGGGATGAAAGATCAAAAAAGAATTAGAGGAGTAATAACTGGAATCCATGAGAAGGAATCAATGGAAGGAATATGTACAAATATAAAAAAATGTAAATGTGAGTGAGGCAAAAAGATTAAAAACAAAAAGAGTTGGTGTAGTGATAGTCTCTCAGTACTGCTAACCTTTGAAGAAGAAAGACTTCCAGAGAAAGTTTTTATAGGGTACATGAGCTATGATGTGAGGATGTATACCACCCCCTCTGAGGTGTTTCAAATGCCAAAGATATGGGCATGTGGCAGCAGCATGTAAAGGGAAAATAAGATGCAGTAAATGTGGAGGTGAACACAAATATGATGAATGTGAGGAAGGGGCAAGGAAAAAATGTTGCAATTGTGGCGGAGAACATAGTGCTGCATATGGTGGATGTGAAGTGTACAAGCGAATGCAAGAAGTACAGAAGGTTAAAGTAAATCAGGAAATCACGTATGCTGAAGCAGCAAGGAGAGTACCAAAGATACCACAAAATGTAGTAAACTACAGAAAAGACAATGACGGATGTGTAAAGTGTGACAGGATTCAGGAAGAAACGTTGATAGTGAGTAAAGTAGGCTTTGTGCTCTTCATGGCAGAAATCATAAACTGCACAGCCCATACGACTAGCAGGACTGAAAGGATCAAGATTATAGTAAAAACTGCTGAGAAGTATTTGGATGTAAAAGGGTTACAGTGGGAAAAGATTAGAGAAACCCTTGAGGAAACACAATCACAGTCATGGGTTGGTTCCTCTTAATGGTGTTAATAATACTCCAATGGAATGCCAGGAGCTTAATTGCGAATGGTCAGGAGTTTAAGAAGTATGTGGAAGATGTTAAGGAGAAACCCAATGTTATATGTGTTCAAGAAACGTGGTTAATTTAACACAGTCTCATCCCAAAAAGTCATATAACTGACGTTTTGGGACGTATTTTGACCATACGTCAATATCAGCCTTTTTAGGGCCCCCTTAAACGTCGGTAGATGGCGATCCCGGGCCGTCATACAACTGACGCTTTACCTTTAACGTCAGTTTGGTGACGGGTTAAGTTTAGGGTTAGGTTTAGGTCTGGGGTAGAGTTAGGATCCCATAACCTCATCTACCGACGTTTAAGGGGGCCCTAAAAAGGCGAATATTGACGTATGGTCAAAAGACGTCCCAAAACGTCAGTTATATGACGTCTTGGGGTGAGACCGGGTTGGTTAATTCCTAGGCTAGATTTTAACATAAAAGGGTATAATGCAGTAAGAAGGGATAGAAAGAATGGGAAAGGTGGAGGGATTATGACTTTTATACAGAAAGGGTTGCAGTACAAGGAAATTAAGAAAGGAGAGGAATTGGAATATGTCACTGTGGAAGTGTGGGTAAAAGAAGGTAATATTAAAATTATTAATTTTTACAACCCATGTAACCAGTTAAAAAGCAGTCAGCTTGAGGAAATTTGAAAAGATTTGGAGGGTAGAGTTATTTGGTGTGGAGATTTTAACGCACATAGCACTTTATGGGGTGATAAAGATGACATAAATGGGAATGTGTTGGAAGAATTTATAGAAGAGAAAGAACTAATATGTCTTAATGATGGAACTTGTACAAGGATAGATGTATCTAGGGGAAAAGAGTCAGCAATAGACTTAACCTTTGGCACGAGAAATGTGGCGGACAAATGTGAATGGGAGGTGTCAAGAGGAAACAGTGGGTAGTGATCACTATCCTATAAAGGTATACATATGTGTGGAGATAGAGAAAGAGAAAGAAGTGAAAGTAGAGAAGTGGTTTGAAGAGAAAGCTGATTGGGAAAAGTTTAAAGAGCTAAGTGAGGAATGGCTGTCATGTGTTGATGGTAGTGAAAATATTGAGGTATTAACAAGAGAAATTAGGTCAAGCATAATAGCAGCAGCAAATGCCACTATTCCAAAATCAAAACCCAAACTTTTGAATAAAATAGTGCCATGGTGGTCAAGAGAGTGTAAGGAAGCTATAAAAGAAAGAAACAAGGCATTTAGATTACTTAAGAGGACACACAATTTTCAGCATTTGATAGAATACAAGAGAGCACAAGCAATGGTAAGGCAAAATGTAAGGAAAGCAAAAAGGGAGTACTGGAAGACGTTTTGTGATTCTTTAGGTCGAACTACTCCAATAGAGAAGGTTTGGGGGATGATTAGAAAAATGAAAGGAAATGGAAGGGAATATGGATATCCTGTGATAATTGATGGAGATGACAGTATTACCGATAGTAAGGGGAAAGCAGAAATTATAGGAAAAACACTAGCTAAAGTACATAGTTCAAAAAACCTTAGTTATGAAGAAAGAAAAGGGAGAGAAGAAACTGTGTCTAATTATCAAAGAGTGTTTGTGAATGGGAATGGGGAAAGTGATCATTTGAATGAGAAGTTCACAAAAGGAGAATTGAATCGAGCACTTAAGAAGTTAGGAAAGTCAGCTCCAGGTAAAGACACTATATGCTACTCAATGTTAGAGAACCTGAGTGATAGTGGTAAGGATATCCTGTTGAAGTTGTACAATAAGATATGGATGGAGGGAATTATCCCTAAAAAGATCCTCATAGTCCAAGCAGTTATAGACCTATAGCACTGACATCGCAGATGGGTAAGACAATGGAGAAAATGATAAATGATAGGCTAATGTATTGGGTAGAGTCAAAAGGATGGTTGCAATGTTACCAGAGTGGCTTCAGAAGGGGAAGGGGTACAATGGACCCAGTGGTATGCCTGGAGGAAACCATAAGAAAGGCTCAAGTGAATATAGAGACTGTAGTGGCAGTGTTTTTTGACATAGAGAAAGCATATGATATGATGTGGCCAGAAGGACTATTAATTAAACTAAATCAGATGGGAGTTAGGGGTCGGATGTATCAGTGGGTCAGAGATTTCCTATCTGATAGAACACTGAGAGTTAAAATTGATGGGGAACTAAGTGAGAGTTTTAGAGTAGAAAATGGAACGCCTCAAGGAAGCATTGTAAGTCCTTTATTATTTGTAATTATGATAGACCAGATATTTAAAGACTTGAATGGCTTAGATGGAGTAGCGTTATTTGCGGATGACGGTGCAATGTGGAAGAAGGGAAGGAACATTGAGTATATTGTGCATAAGATGCAAGATGCTGTTAATGAAGTTCAGCAATGGGGAGTGAAATGGGGATTTAGAATATCAATAGAGAAGACAAAGGTTATGTTCTTTACAAGGAGAAAAATTAGCCGAGAATTCAAAATAATGGTTTTGGATAAAGAGCTAGAGAGGGTTGAGATCTTTAAATATCTAGGTGTTTGGTTTGATAAGAAGTTGACATGGGCATATCATATCCAAAAGATGATAGATAAATGTAAGAGGATACTAAATATTATGAGGTGTTTATGTGGGATAGATTGGGGTGCTACAAGGTCGGCATTAAAAACCATCTATACAGGTCTAATGAGATCAGTGTTTGACTACGGCTGTATAGCATATGGATCTGCCTCCAAAACAAACTTAAACAAACTTGATGGTTTGCAAAATCAAGCAATGAGGATAATTAGTGGTGCAATAAGAACTTCTCCAATAGCTGCAATGCAAGTAGAAGTGGGTGAGATGCCACTGCAATTGAGGAGGGACCAGCTAGCACTGGTATACTGGGCAAATATCAGGGGGCATAAAGAGAACCACATGTCTCAAATAGTATTAAGGGAATGTCAGGAAAAAGAAAGTATGAAAATCAAAAGTTATGGGTGGGTCATAAAAGATAAGGTGAATAACATGGGAATTGGATCTTTGAACATCTGCCCAACAGTGTCATATCCAATCGTGCCTCCGTGGATGTTACAAGAATTGAATGTTGATTTAGAACTATTGGAAGTAAAGAAGAAAGATGGAGTGGATAAGTATGGGGTAAACAACTATATAACAGGAAAATACAAAGAGTGTGTAAAGATTTTTACAGATGCATCTAAAAACACTGAGAAGAGAGTAGGGGTAGCCTATGTAATTCCTGAGATGGGCATAGAAATGGCAAAAAGGATAAATGATGACCTAGCAGTGTACTGCTGAACTGGTTGCCATATGGTTAGCACTCTTGTGGCTAGAGTCTAACAATTGTCTGCAGGCAGTAATTGCCTCTGATTCAAGTTCAGCAATGTACAGTATTCAGAACTATCGGTCTGATTCAAGGGAAGATATTTTGGTTGAAATTTTACAGCTAGCAAATGGAATACAAGCATCAGGAAGGAGGGTGACATTTGTATGGGTTCCAGCCCATATAGGAGTGGAAGGTAACGAAATGGCTGATGAACATGCAAAGAGAGTAACAGATAAAAGCAATATAGATATAGATGTAAAATACAGTAAAGCAGAGATAAAAAGCATAATTAAGGCTAAAACTATTAAAAAGTGGCAACATATCTGGGATAATGGGTGCTCAGGAAGACATCTATATAGGATACAAGGGAAAGTGGGAAAAGAAACACACATAACCAGATCAAGACAGGAAGAAATTGTGCTGACTAGGATGAGGTTGGGTCATACAAAGTTGAATAGTACAATGTTTTTAATAAAAAAGCATGTAGATGGAAATTGTGAGTATTGCCAGAGTAATATACCTGAAACCGTTGAGCATGTAATAATGTACTGTCAGAAATACAATAAAGCAAGGCAAAGACTAGTTAATGAGTTGAAAGCAAAGAAAATGTCTTTAGAAACTAAAACATTATTGGACAGAAGTTCAAGGGAGAATTTTGATCTATTATTTTCTTTTTTGAAAAGTACAGGCCTTTTAAAGAGGATATAGGAATAAAGTTTTTTTTTATTTTTTTTTTTTTTATAAATAACTATGAAATTGCTGGTATATTTTGTTTTTAATAATAGTAAAGAATAAGACAGTAGCTCCTATGCCATACTCCAGTCTTGTGGTGGCGGTAATGCACAAGAAATAGTTGCCAACCGCCAAATAAAAAGAAGAAGAAGAAGAAGATTGTTTGGAGGGCTCGCCTCGCCTTGCAGTTGACAACAATCACTAGATCGTGCTGTTGCCATTAACGGCTTTACCGTTAGCACAACTGTACAGCATTACAGTAACATTATGTCTGGAAATAATTGGAAACAAAGAACACAGTGTTCTGCCATCAACTGCAACAACTACCAGTGTACAAGCAATGAACTAGCATTTCATAGATTCCCCAAAGATCCAGAGAGGTAAGGTGAGCTAACGTCAACGATATCCTGTAATGTAAGCTATCCCATAACCGCAATAACAGTCAGCTAACTTTATTTATTTGGTCAAAATTAAGTTAAGACTCTATGGGCTTAAATATGAACACCTAACCTGGCAAATGACCGATTTATTAATTCATTATTAGCACTAAATTAACGTTACTAAAGTAATGTTAGCCACTAGCAAACATTTTAGTCTAGCATCTGCTCTCTTGAAGGCAATATCCACTCTGATAACTTTATGATAATCCGATTTATGATGCCGTTGATGTTTTTTCAGCTTCTTCAGTAAAGTTAACGTTACCGACAGTTAGTTATCTGCACCTCCGGAGAGTGAAATAAATGAAATTATGTACCACATTTCGAAGATCTGCCAGATGGGTGCAGAACCTGAGGAATGCTAGCTTGGCAGGGATAAGCTCCCAGCGCCTCAATCAGAACTACAGGGTGTGCAGTGCACATTTCCACCCCAGCCAGTTTAAAAGGCCATCAGATGTGTATGTATAATTGAGAATATATAGTAATAGCATAATCATTGAATCCTGATATTGAAATGTATTTTATTAACATGAAATATTTTATTATAAAAAAACAGCCATGCAGGATTGAACTGGAATGCAGTGCCCACTATGGTTAATGCCCCTAACCCACCGCCGCCACCACTGGACATCGAGCACAAGAGAAAACCACCAAAGACACGCCAAGAGTTGCCACCAAAGAAACGTAAGAGTCTGTTATGTTACCGGTTGAATTATTCTCAGTCTGTCAATCGTATCAACATCTTGTTCTGCTGTTGAATGATTTGAAGTTTTTTTTTTTCTGTAAAATTATTCACTTATGATCCAAGTTTTCAATGTTGTATTTATTTATTTTTTTTACAGGGCAACAGAGTCACGCAACTGGTCCATTTTTTGAGAAACATAGCTTGCCTGATGAGGATGCCGTCGCAGGTTCTTCGTCGCCGCCACCATCAACAGATAATAAGGCTGTTGCAGGACCTTTATTACCACCACCACCACCACTGCAACCAGACCTGACAGACCTTACTAAAAAACTTTATAAGCAAATCAGGTCTCTGAAGTCACAGATATGCAAGCTGAAAGCAAAAGTAAGGAACCTCACTCGCCAGAAGACCAGCAAGTTGGATGTGAAACATGAACTGAAGAGACTGTTACCAGCCAAGTCTTATGCTTTTTTCAGCACCCAGTTACGCATGTGCCAGCGCAAGGCTAATGGTTTCCGTTGGACCGCTCAAGACAAAGCTTTTTTCTTGTCTCTCCTACATGCCAGTCCTAAGTGTTATCGGCTACTCTGCAGAGTCTTTTCGATGCCATCTGTCCGCACACTACAGAAGGTCATTAAGTCTCCTGGGTTTAAGCAGAGCATTCTGTCCACTGATTAATTAAATTATAATAAAACTAAAGACTAAAACATAGAACAGCTAATATACTTACTGTTGTCATTCTGTTTGTAGTAAATTTGTGCACAATGTTGTGAAATGCAGGCAGAAATGATGTGGTGATTTACTCACCATCACCAATTTTATTACTGTCACCTACTCACTGTTCAGTGTGTTTTGGCTTTTTCATGGAATTTGTCCATCATTTCATAAGGGACCTTGGACTGTTGTTACTGGCGTTGTAAAACTGGGCTGCGTATGAAAACGGGAGATATCCCCAAAAGTTATTGGGGTAAATAAATAGCCTATTTGACAGCTTCATGCTCTATGACAAAACCGTTTAATTATAAACCGATCCACAAGGATTATTTTGCTGTACATTATTCAACACAGCGTTTTAGTTTAGGCTATTGATATTAAAAACTAGAAACTACTATTTAGTTCCCTTAACAACTTTTGAATTGGAACTGGTATCGTTCAGTTCTATGACAGATCCAAGATGGCGGAGCTGCAGCTCTGCGCATGGGTGCGTTTGTTAGCAATGCTGCTACTTCTATGCCTTTTGAGGAGGGTCTACTTCCTGTTTGTAAAGGTCATTTCAGGTGGTGGTTGATCATTTCAGACAATTTAATGTGTCAGACTTTTTAGAGTCTGTGGTGTTATGCATATTTTACATACTCTAAATTTTGATACAGTCTTATTAATATTTCTAAAATGTCCCCTATGTTGAAACCATCATGAAAGCAGACTCCATTTTAGAAAAGTCTAGATTTGTGTTAATCTGTCTGCGGTGTTACTGTTTTTCATGGTGACACCACAGAATCCATTGTAAATCCACATGATACAACCAGTTATATTTTTTTTATTGAAAAGCATAATTTTTTTTTAGGACATAATCATAATCATACAATTTTATCACTCTAGTTAGGTTTTATCTGCTTCTGAACAGCAGAGCAGCGTCTTTATAGATAGCATAGAGATGGAGACCTTGTTCTAATTGTGTTATATTAGGTCTGTGGTGTAATATAAGTTGCTATCAACTTTGATGTTACAACTTAAATTCAATTAAATTGACATACAAACTTATAAACTCATAAAAAATTGCTTAACTTATTTTGAATAGTTAAAGGTAAATGTAAACACATATGTAGTCATCATTTATTGATCATATACAGTAATTTTTTAATTACAGTTTTACAGTGTATCTGAAATTTCTTTCGGAGCCATTTGATATTCTCATTTTAAGTTTCCAGACTTCAGAAATTATTTTAACCTTTTAGGTACCAAAGATAACTTTTCTTGTCGTTTTTATTTATGAAAAAAAAATATATATATATATTGGTTCCGAGAAAGTCCAGGAAAGTTTGTTTTTGGTTATAAAAATTAAAACCTAAAAATAACGATTAGTTTGTGGTTATAAAAAAAAAAAAAAACTAAAAAAAATCCTATGTTAAACTCTCTTTTTTTTAAACAGGTTTTTTTGAGCAGGGTTGCCATAAATCTAAGTTCAGAAATATTTGATCACCTGATCAATCAGAATCAAGCAATCCAAGCAAATTATTTCAATAAAACTTACCTACTACGGCGAAGGCTTAAAGCATGAATAATAATTACGTAATGCTGACGTTGCTTAGTAACCTTGCGAGAGCGTCCACCCACGTGGCTTACTTAATATTCATAATCCACTCCTTCGCCATAGTAAAATAAATCGCCAGTTGGATTCTCACAGACACTTTTTACACCTCCCACCTCCCATGTTTACGTCAAATCCTTCCCAGCAGCGGATGTTATTGGAAAACTGGAGCCACAAAGCATAAACGTTTAAGCTAGAAATCCGAAAGTTCCCAAAGCTGATATTTTGATTGACGCCGTGGATACAGAAGGTAACAGCACGTCGCTTGAATGAATATTGCTTTGTGTTTTTGTGCGCTGGCAGCGCTATGATCTGCAACCGCAGGCCTGTGCTCGCATCATTCACGAATAGCCTATCAATCGCCCATGGATTTTAATTGCTAAAGATGTTTATCGCCCTCTGAAAGTTGTTAGGTTTCGCTTGAATCTCTAACAGATGGCTTTACATGTGTCGTGCTGCTTTTATGTTACTATATGACTAAGTTAAATGGCTGAGAGATATGTGCTAGCTGATATGATGCGATGAATGAGTATTGCTTGTATGCAATAGTGCAAATCACTCTACACTTGTGTGCTATATTTGTCAGTGTAGAGACCGGGACTTATTTTAAGACCAGAAAAAGTAACTCCCGTTTTTTTTTTTACATTGATGATGAGGCCAGTAACTAACGACACAAGTAGCTATTTGCAACTATATCGTTCAATGTTAGGGTGAATCGCAGTGAAAGTTGAGTAATAGTGAAGACATGAAGGTTAGGTCAGTGTTATGTAATCAGTGCCAGCGGCGATGGATAATCGCTCTCTATTCCAGAAAACACCAGAACAAACACACACCAACTCATGTGCTGCTCGCTCACCAGCACGGTTAAAAGTTAAAAAGCGGTCGCTAATAGTCTTAATATTATAATTGGTAAAATGTATAATATATGTATAATGCTTAAGCTTTAATGCTTAATATAATAATGCTTAAGCCCCCACGTTCTTCAGAACATTTTTAGAATATCTTGACAGTACCAGAAACATACCAGAAAAAAGGAAAAGAAATAGCTGAAAAAAACCAAACATTTTCACTATTTCTTTTAAAGGAGTTGTTTACTTAAAAAAAAAAAAAAAAAACTTTTGCTGATAATTTACTCACCTCCATGTCATCCAAGATGTCCATGTCATTCTTTCTTCCATCAAAAACCTTAATTTCTTTTCGACTGAAGTTCAGTCGAAAAGAAATTAAGGTTTTTGATGAAAACATTCAAGGATTTCTCCATATAATGGACTTCATGGGGAACCAAATGGTTCAAGGTCAAAATGACAGTTTCAGTGCAGCTTCAAAGGGCTTGAAACGACACCAGACGATGAATAAGGGTCTTATCTAGGACCCTTCGGGTCAAAAGATTTGAGAAAAGTCGAAAAAACTTTTCTCGAAAAAAGATTTGAACAGGAGAGTCATGAACCCTCATCACAGAACAGAGCAAGGTGAGCATTTGTGCTTATAAAGCTTAAACTTTTTTATTTATTTTTAAAATGACCAATCGCTTCGCTTGATAAGACCCTTATTCATCATCTGGTGTTAAAGCCCTTTGAAGTTGCACTGAAACTCTCATTTGGACCTTGAACCGTTTGGTTCCCATTGAAATCCATTATATGGAGAAAATCCTGGAATGTTTATCAAAAACCTTAATTTCTTTTCGACTGAAGAAAGAATGACATGGACATCTTGGATGACATGGGGGTGAGTAAATTATCAGCAAAAGTTTTTTCTTTTTAAAAAACTGAACTACTTTAAAAAATAAAATGTTAAAACCAGTATAAAACCAGGCAAATTATATATGAACAAACCCCTCTGTAAAAAACTTCAGAATATATATATATATATATATATATAAGGATAAAACTGTAAAGATTAGTGTATGTAAGTGCTTCTGAAGTGGAGATTTCTGACTCATTTTTAGAAAAAAAAAAGCCTTTGACCTGTAACTGAAATCTACAGATGCAAATAAAAAAAGTGCTATGAAAGTAAACTTTAAAATGTATTTTGGATATTTTCTTACCACTTGTTATGAACTGCTCCGACACTTGGAGATGTAGATCCAAATGCAGCTTTATTAAGAATAGTCATACAGGCAGTGGTCGAGAATCAGCAGACAGGGCAATGGAGAACACACAGTGGGAATCCAAAAAACAGGCAGAGGTCAGGGCAGGCAGCAATAATCAAAAACCAAGAACAATCCAAAGTCAAAAACCGAAGACAAACACAAGAAAACGCTCAGAAATGCAGACACACAGTACAACAAGACTTTCCAAACAGTGAATGTGAACACAAGGTATATATAGACAGACTAACAGGATGAGACACAGGTGAATGCAATCAGTGAATGAGGGACAGGTGAATATGATCAGTGCTGATGAGTCCGGGCAGTGAGTTCTGGGAAATGTAGTTGTGAGTGAAACATGAACATCTGGTGTGGAGTGCCCTCTGGTGACTCTCAAGGGCACTCCACCTGGTGACCGTTACACCACTAGTCTGAAATAACACTATATGAAAAGCCAAAAAGTCCAAAATCTCAAAATTGACGGATGCATGAAAAAAGTGTTTTTGCCTGTAGTGTATCGCCTTGATATACGAAGCTATGCCAAGCGTGTGTTTCAAACACATAGCCTACAAGTTGTAGCCTAATAATTATTGAATTATCCCGCTTTTACAAAAAAAACAAACAAACAAATGGTTTTCCAGCTCAAAGCTTTGGCTAAAATTATGGCAACTTTCTTCCTTCTAACGTTACTAAAAGGTTTGTTAAAAGTTATCTAGTCTTTAATAATGTTCACAAAAAAAGTTATTTAGCTTGTGTCGTTCATGATCTCTACATTATTTTTTTTTGAAGCGTTCTAGTTTGTTCAACGTTTTTTTTGAACGTTACCACTGGTTTCAGAATATTCAGAAAACATTCAAAAGTAACATTCCCATAATTGTTTGCAAAATTACTAAATGGAAAGTTCACTTAATGCTAATATATATATATATATATATAAAAAAAACGTATTGCGACTTTTTATCTCGCAATTGTGAGATATGAAGATAGATTTGTGAGAAATAAAGGCGCAATTGCGAGATATAAAGTCGCAATTGTGAGATGTAAAGTCGTAATTCTGAGAAATAGGCGTAAAGTCGCAATTGCGAGATATAAAGTAGCAATTCTGAGAAATAATGTTGCAACTGCGCAAAAAAATACAGAATTGAGAAATTTTATCTCACAATTCTGACTTTGCACGTTTACATCTCGCAATTCTGACTTTATAACACATAATTGCGAGTTTATATCTCGAAATTCTGACATCTTTTCTCAGAATTTTGAGATATAAACTCGCAATTGCGAGTTATCAGGCCAGTTCTAAGGGGGAAATAAGACTAGCCTAACTTTTTTCCCCTCAGAATAGTTTTTATCTCACAATTCTGACTTTACAACACGCAGTTTCGACTTTATATCAGACATTTCTGACTTTATAACATGCAATTGCGTGACTTTTTATCAATCAATTCTGACTTTATAACACGCAATTGTGACTTTATATGACGCAATTGCGACTTTAGCCTATATCACGCAATTCTAACTTTATATCTCGCAATTCTGAGAAATAAAGTCGGAATTACGAGATGTAAACTCGTAAATTACTTTTTTATTTTTCATTCTGTGGTGGAAACAAGCTTCCATATAATGTTGATATAACCAAGAAATAACTTTAAAAAACATTTTAAACTTTTGGAAAAAATTTAAAATAACGTTTTCATAACTCAATGGGAACAATAGGAGAACGTTCTTAGAAGAACATAATTTTGTTGAGTTGCTGCTTATCTGCTGTAGATCAGGACCAACACTGGGCTATCCACCTTTTTCCTGTATATGAATTTTGGGAATATAACTCAGTAAGCATGTGTTAAAAACAATCAGCGAAAGCATTTTCAAAAACAATAGGCCTAAGGCATTATTCCTTTAACCATTGATCAATCAGAGGGAATTTTCCTTTATAAGGAAATTTAAAAGTATAAAAGCATTAACAAATGACTTCAACAGACCAGGAATTCCCCAAAAACGTGATTATTTCTGGAGTGTTGCTTTGATAAAAAATGTTATTTAACTGGAACATTGAGTGATGATATTTCCAAGTGATTTCCGTCATTTTGGCAGACAAGTAATATTGTATTTACCCCTTTTAGAAACATTCCAGTAAACACTGCTATTATGGATTAGAAGTGAAAAGGGGAGACAATTACATTTTAAATATCTGTGTGAAAACAAACCTGGAAAGAGACGTGAGGATTTGGGGAGAAAAACAAGATATTTTTAGTACAGTTCTGCAGTGAATTATTCATTGGGCACAAACGCGTAGTATATGTTGTCTTTTTTTTTTAACTACAGCTGAATAAAAAGTAGGGAAACAAAGAAAATAATCAGAAGGAAAAGAATGTAATGACTGAAAACAGCTCAAGTCATAGAGTTATGTTACGTTATTAACGTGAAGAAAATCACAGCTCATTCGGTCACTTATTATTTGTAGCTCAAGCTTATGATTTGAAATTATTTTTTTTTTTTCGATTCTTTGAGTGGAACTTCCCCAAACCAAAAGTCCCTTTCATAATTTAGTCTTGTTAGGAAGAAGGTGGCATTATGAAATGAAAGTGTATAAGCTGATGTTCAGTGTGGATTAAACACTCAACGTTATAATGGTTTTAATCAACAGGGTGTTATATCTATACTTTTGTATCAAATCTTTTTTGAATGTTCCAATGACACGATGGCAACGCATCAGAAATATTGCCATAATTTGCGGTTATACAGACAAGCTTTCTGTGTAATTCATTTCCATTATCCTAAGTAATACAGGATGTGAACTGGCTGGCCAACGAGTTACTCTGACCACATAAGCTAATGGACGATATTTATACGCTCCACATATAGTAGTAGTCACATGCTTTACTCGTGCATTTCCTGCTTCATCCCTATTGGCTGTTGGTAATCATTCCAAGAAAGTGCAAATGAGATCATGTGTAGTCATAGCACCTGTTTACCAGCTGAGTCATGAAGAGAACACACCTATGCCATTTTAATGGTTAATTATGTTGTGGTAATATCTGATTATAAGTTTTTGTTGCAAACCATAATAATGTCACATATGCAGAAATGCCACTATTAACATTATAACTAAGGAATAAGGATCGAAGATAACAGGTTTAGTCTTAGCTACTTCGATTTGGTTTTCAAATGAGGTGCTGTTTCTTCCCACGATCTTGTTTTTCATTTGCATTTATTTCCCTTAAACTTTAACAAGTTCATTTTTTTATGAAAGGACACATATTTCACACAAAGGACACAATGTTTGACATCTGGTTAGTCTTGACCCACATATCTGAGGTTCTTAGAATACTGTGCCACTGTGTTTCTACTGTATTGTTGTTACTTTAACTTCTTAAAGGCCAAAACTGTACTGAAGCCAAGAGATTGGCTTAAGTACATATATATTATGAGGATTATACAGTATACACTACCATCCAAACGTTTGGGGTAGGTAAGAAAAAAAATCTCTTATGGTCACCAAAGCTGCATTTATTTGATTAAAAATATACTAAAACAGTAATATAGTGAAATAATATTCCCATTTAAAATAACTGTTTCCTATTTGAATATATTTTAAAATGTAATTTATTCCTGTGATTTCATGATGAATTGTCCAAAAGAACAGCATGTATTTGAAATGTAAATCTTTTGTTATATTCTAAATGTCTTCACTGTCATAATCGATTAATTTAATACATTCTTGCTTGAATAAAAGTATTCAATTCTTTAGTTTAAAAATCATACAGACCCCTAAACTTTTGAATGGTAGCATTGATGACCAATGAATCCAAACTATATTGTGTTTACAAAGTGATCGGGTTGATCGTCACAAGCTTCGAATCAGAAATTATCTTTTGAGACTAATCATCCTCCCACAATTTCTGTTTTAAAAAGCAGACTTAATTCTTATTTTAGATATGACGAGCACATGATTTTATCAAGCAGTAAAAAGCCCAAAACAAGGCGACAAGAAGTCTGAAGCCAGGTCTAGTGGGATGTTGACTTGCACCACTTCACAAACGATGAGAGGAAGGAGAGTCTAAAAAAGGGGTGTCCAAACTCGCACCTGGAGCGCCTCTATCCTGCAGAGTTTAGCGCCAGCTTGCCTCAACACACCTGCCTGGAAGTTTCTAGTATACCAAAGACCTGGATTAGCTGGATCAGTTGTGTTTAATTGGGGTGGGAGCTAAACTCTTCAGGACAGTGGCCCTCAGGAAGAAGGATTGGAAACCCCTTTATTAGTCTAAGGCAGGATATTTCATGCTTATCTATGTTGTTTTATTTGTGGGCTCGTGGGAATGTTGAGCCAGTGAGCATCTGCAAATTAATAATTGGATGTGAAATGCCTCACCAACAGTAGTGCGGGATGCCGCGATCACATTACACTGTGTGCTTATTGAACCACGTGGCCTGTCTGTGTTCACCCTAGAAGCTCCCTTATCTGGCCTCCTTCCAGGGAACCAACATGTCCAGTGACCCCCCTCCTCCTTACCCAGGCGGCCCCAATGCCCCACTTCTTGAGGAAAAAAATGGACAACCTCCAGTTTCTGGTAAATATCTTGATATTTTTTTCTCTTCTCTTTAGACATTTGAAATGAACTTGTACTTTTTAAACCTGCTTTTAATAGGTGCAATGACTTGCTCGTCACCATCATTAGCTGCTCATTGGTGCAGAATTTCAAAAACGTTGTTCTAGGAAACCATGGCGACTTGAATGTAAACACTTTCCTCACAATCTTTCAATGGGCCACTAGAATTGCATGGAACTAGATGTCTTCGTTTCACTTAAAGGAGTAGTTCACTTTCGAAAAAAAAACTTTTGCTGATAATTTACTCACCCCCACGTCATCCAAGATGTCCATGTCTTTCTTTCTTTAGTCGAAAAGAAATTAAGGATATTGATGAAAACATTCCAGAATTTTTCTCCATTTAAGGCACTTCAGTGGGAACCAAACGGTTCAAGGTCCAAAAGACGCTTTCAGTGCAAACTGTTCAAAGGGCTTTAAACGATTCCAGACGATAAATAAGGGTCTTTTCAAGCGAAACGATCGCTCATAAAAAAAAAAAAACGATGAAAAAAAAAAAATGAACGATTTCGAACAGGAGAGTCACGAACGCGCGTCACAGAACAGAGCAAGGTGACCATTTGAGCTTATAAAACTTAAACTTTATTTTTTTTTAATGATTTTTTTCTTCCAGACGACAAATAAGGGTCTTATCAAGCGAAACGATCGCTCATTTAATAAATAAATAACAAAGTTTAAGTTTTATAAGCTCAAATGTTCGCCTTGCTCTGAACGAAATCGAACGTGAGAGTCACAAACATGCATGTCATTACAGAGCAAGGCGAGCATTTGAGCTTATAAAACTTAAAGTTTGTTATTTATTTTTTAAATGAGCGATCATTTCACTTGATAAGACCCTTATTCGTCGTCTGGAATCGTTTAAAGCCCTTTGAACAGTTTGCAGCTCGCACTGAAAGTCTTTTGGACCTTGAACCGTTTGGTTCCCATTGAAGTCCATTATATGGAGAAAATCCTGGAATGTTTTCATCAAAAACCTTAATTTCTTTTCGACTGATGAAAGAAAGACGTGGACATCTTGGATGACTTCGGGGTGAGTAAATTATCAGCAAAAGTATTTTGAAAAGGGAACTACTCCTTTAATTATAGCAATGTTAAATGATGAAATAATAACTACAACAGTGAGCAGGAAAGACTACATATGAACATATGATTTAACTGTAAAATGTCTCGTTGAAACCCCACTGCAGTCTGTCTATAAAAATGTACTTTGATTTACAGTGGAATCATAAAGTCTGTTACTTCACTAGTGGTCTCATATGTTCGGACACAACTGTATGTTTATAATTCATTTTGAGAGGAGCAAGTCTAGCAAAAATATTGATATAAAGCTGTTTCCCTCAGCAGCCTCTGCTCCAGTAATGACAGGACCTCCACAAGGACAGCCGCTGCCCCCAGAATACGGGCCTCCACCTTATGAAGCCACACCTGGCTTTGTTCCTCCACACGTCCCAGGCGAAGGTCCCAAGCCTATGGCTATGCCTATGCATATGCACATGCCTATGCCTCATCCTCACGGTGGGTGTGCCAACCAAACTCACACACTAATACATCAGCAGCCATTCACAGATCATTAGTATTTCAGAGCAGTGTTGTAGTACTCGAGACTCGGACTCGTCTCGGACTCGGTCTCGAGACCATATTTTAATGGTCTTGGTCTTGTCATGGACTCGTGTCCATTTGGACTCGGAATTGACTCGTACTCGAACATTTTTTTTTTTAGGACTCGGAATTATTCCCGAGTCCACTCGAGTTCGATTAAAAATATTTTTCATGATTATTAATGTATGTTAATAAAATATTTCTTTAAATTGATTGACACGCCCAGTGATTGGTGATTTTCTAGTGCGCCACTGCGCATGACAAATTGTAATAAAATTACTTTTAACACCACCTACTATGTGGCCTTTTTACCCTAAACTGATCATATTCAGTAAAAAAAAAAAAAAAGTATTTCTCTAAGTAAATAAAAGTAAATTAGGTAATCAACCCTCACTGGTCTCGGTCTCGACTCGGACTCGACCGTCTCTGGTCTCGGACTCGACTCTCTATGGATTCGGTCTTGACTCGGACTCGACTCTCTCTGGTCTCGGTGTCGACTCGGACTCGAGTGAGGTGGTCTCGACTACAACACTGTTTCAGAGAAAAGAACTAGCAATAATGCTAAATCAAAAATGATGTAATGCGACATGTTTCGAGCAACAAGGGATTTGACCACGATTACACAGAAAATTGTGAAAGTGTAATAATACATTTAAGTACTGTGTAATATGAACTAACTACCTATAGTATATAGGGTTAGGTTTAGGTTTTGGTTCAGGGTTAGTTGCATGTAATGATGTGTAACTTACAGTTATTATTATAGTAACTATACTGCATGTAACTTGTAACAAGAACACTGTAAATTAAAATGTTTCCAAAATCGTTCATCAAAATGTAATAACTGCCTCTGAATTGACACTGTTTTAGGTTACTGTTGTAGGTGTTGCTGCCTTTCTAAAATCTTGTAGATAAAAAAAAACAAAAAACTTATAATTAAAACTTTAACTATAAGTTTTTTTTTTTTATCAAATACTCACTCATACGTTCTAAACCTGTAAGACTTTCATTCATCTATCTTAGAAACACAAATGAAGATGTTTTAATGAAATCTGAGAGCTTTTTCTGTTGACAGCTACTTTGTTGCTTTAAAAAGTTAATAAAGAGATCATAAAACGAATGCATATGAATCGAGTGGATTAGTCCAAATATTCCTAAGAGACTGGATAACTATACGATAACCAAATTCAATTCAGGTTTTAATTCTGTTATAAACATTGCCCGATTAATGGGTGAGGATAAACCTCATTGGTTCCCACTGAAGCTCAAACATGCTGCGTAACTTGAGAAGGAACCTCATTGGCTATTGCACGTCAAGCGAACATGCTCGAGCTTTGGTTTACCGTAATTGACGTGTGAGTAGATTAATGTTTTTGTTAATAAAAGCCTTAATTAAATCTGTTTATCACATAAAGCAATCATGCCAAGATACAATCTATGTGTGTAGATCTATCTTCAGGGGATAGTTCACCCATTACTCAACCTCATGCAAACAAAAATGAAAATTTGTAGAAAAATAATCCATACGACCCCAATGGATGAATCAGTAGAAGTGAAACGATAGGCTAGGTGTGTAAGAAAAATATGATTTAAAAAAAAAAAAAGATCACCCGCGAATCGCGATCGATATGTTACATGTCAAACGAGCAACAGCCGTTCAATGGCATTATATGGGCTCACAAAGATGGATCATTTTCTTGCAAATGTTTGTTTGTGTTTATCTGAAGAAAGAAACAGTCATATACAATCGGGGATGGGATGATGGTGAGTAAATGATGAGAGAATTTCAATTTTTGTGTGAACTAACTTTAACCTCAAAATTGATGTGCTGCAGGTGGTTACTACGCTCCCCCTGGACACTTTCCTCATCCAATAGCGGAGCACTATGGTCCGGGGCCCAGTCACTTTGGTCCAGGTCACACAGCCACAGTTCTCTCCCCTCCTGGTGCCACCACCACCGTGACTGTTCTACAGGGGGAGATGTTTCAGTCGACTCCAGTGCAGACGGTTTGTCCACACTGCCAACAACCCATCACCACCCGCATCAGCCACGACATCGGCCTCATGAATACTCTAATCTGCATGTTCTGCTTCTTTGTCGGGTAAGTGACGAACTAAATGGCACAATCTCTCTGTGAAATCATTTCTCGGTTGTTTTCTTTTTCTGCATGTTGGACGGCCTACATGTCTTTGAGTTGGCGGACATAGAATTTCATAAGTAATAATAATAAAAGGATATGCTTAAAGGAGTAGTTCACTTTTCAAAAAACTTTGCTGATAATTTACTCACCCCCATGTCATCCAAGATGTCCATGTCTTTCTTTCTTCAGTTGAAAAGAAATTAAGGTTTTTGATGAAAACATTCCAGGATTTTTCTCCATATAATGGACTTCAATGGGAACCAAACGGTTCAAGGTCCAAAAGACAATTTCAGTGCAAACTGCAAACTGTTCAAAGGGCTTTAAACGATTTCAGACGATGAATAAGGGTCTTATCAAGCGAAACGATCGCTCATTTAAAAAATAAATAACAAAGTTTAAGTTTTATAAGCTCAAATGGTCGCCTTGCTCTGTTCTGTGACGCGCGTTCGTGACTCTCCTGTTCGAAATCGTTCATCAAAACGTTTTTTTTTTTTATGAGCGATCGTTTCGCTTGATAAGACCCTTATTCATCATCTGGAATCGTTTAAAGTCCTTTGAACAGTTTGCACTGAAACTGTCTTTTGGACCTTGAACCGTTTGGTTCCCATTAAAGTCCATTAAAATCCTGGACTGTTTTCATCAAAAACCTTAATTTCTTTTCGACTGTAGAAAGAAAGACATGGACATCTTGGATGACATGAGTAAATTATCAGCAAAAGTTTTTTTTTAAAAAGTGAACTACTCCTTTAACTGCTAAATAAGGTTTTTCTTAATATAAAGAGGCTTTGTTTCTTCATTATAATTTCAGGACAGTTGTGTCACGCTCACTTTTTTAACTTTATGCATAACGTCATACAACTTTTAAAGTTGAAGTTACATTTAACTTCATAGAAAATATCTACACCACTGTTCAAAAGTTTGGGGATTTTTAATGTTTTTGAAAGAAGTCTCTTGCTTGATCAAAAGTTCAATAAAAACAGTAATTAGTGACATTATTACAATTGAAAATGAAGGTTTTCTTTTGTTATATATTAAAATAGTAATTTATTCCTGAAAACAGAATTTATCGGCATCATTACTCCTGTCTTCAGGGTCACATGATCCTTCAGAAATCCTTCTAATATGATCCGATTTGATTTTCAAGAAACATTTCTTATCGTTATTATCAATATTGAAAACGCGCTGCTTAACATTTTTGTGGAAACAAAAATAAACAGCATTTATTTGAAATATAAACCTTTTGTGACATTACGAATCTCTCTTTGGATCATTTCAATGCGTCTTTGTCAATAAAAGTATTCCTTTCTTTCTAAAAATCTTAGGAAACCCCAAACATTTGAATAGTAGTGTAAATGAATTTTAAAACCGAAATTAAAAACGTGCACCATACAAGAGGTGCATTCAGGCCATGCATGCATTGCATTTTTGATGTAGTTATGAATAAATGAATATACACACTGAGCTCTGAATGTGAGCTCTTGAGATCCCTCATGACTTTTGTCTTTGTTTTACAGATGTGATCTAGGTTGCTGCTTGATCCCCTGTATGATTGACGACCTCAAGGATGTGACACACACGTGCCCCAACTGCAAGGGCTATATTTACACATACAAGCGCATATGCTAACAGTCTATCCCATTAACGATCGTGCTGTGACCTCATTCTGGTGGGTGTTGACGACTCACTCTCATTTCCTTCTGCTCTCTGATCGCCTCAGCTGACGGCTCGTATTTCTAGCCATTTCTCGCTTTATGTAACTATAGATTCTCACATTTAATTTCCAGGTACTTGATGTAGTTACTGACACCTCTAAAATGAAGCAGAGGGCACGTTTTAATATGCACAATGGTCATTGTTTCATCAAAACACTGTTTCAATTTTTTTTTTTTTTTTTTTTTAGCAGTAAAGCAAAGTGTAAGCATCTAGAAAATATGTGAAAAGGGTAACCTTAAGCTCATTCGTGAATATTACTGAGTAGCGAAAACAACTGAATTTCACTACAGGGTCAGTATTGTTGGAATGTAGGATTATTATTTTATGCATTATTGTTTTATTTTAACATATTGAAATGAAAGTCTTTAATAGCTGGGTCTGGGACTGTTTAACATTGTCCTGGAGTAACATTGTTGCTTTTACATGTGAAAATTGCGTCTATATTTGGCATTTTATGCAAATGTTATGGGGGAAAATTTTTTTTTCACTTTTGTCATGTTTTCAGTTTCTCATGTTTGTCTACGAGACTCATTTGATTTGATATGCTTATGAAACATGCGTGTCATTTTATTTGACAGGTTTTTATTGAGAAGGAATATGTATGTCCATTTAAATCTCCTTTTAGTAATTTAGGATACTCGATAGCTTTTTAATATGCCGTGCTGTTCACGTTAGGGTCATATTTGTGGAATTCAACCAATATACATTTAATATGTTTTTGAACTGTGAATCTGAACTATAGCCATGGTGCTTTTCTAACCACTACACTAGCTGTTCTGTGTTGTCGTCAATAAGCTGTTTGAGCCTTCTCTAAACTATCATCGGTTATCCAGGTCCGTTTACCGGTCATTACTAAACTAGGTCTGTTTGCTGATATTAAGATCAGTGTAGAAACATCTCTAATCACATATTTATTTTAACATTTATTCTGGCCAGAACTGCTGAACAACATGTTTAGAAGTGGCAGTTGCGTTATTTTTTTTTAGATTTCTACTTAACATGGTGAAGTTGTTGTCGTCGTCTTCTTCAAAAAGGGAAGAAATCTCTTGTAAAGGCTGTTCAAAGCTGCTTTGCTGTTGGAGTTCACCAGCATGATGAAATGCGCTGCATGGCATCACTGTAATCTTGCATATAGCGCTCTATTGGGCCATATGTCCCCTCAGTGTGTCAAGCTGGGCTTGTTGCTGCACTGGGCTTCATAACTCAAAGCAGATTAACCGTTCACTTATTAATACTGTGTGTAACAGGTCACAAGGACTTAAATGATTATTGTCCTGATTTTTCCTTTTTTTGTGGTCAGATTGTGATTTCTGTGGAATCATCCAAAGAGATTTGTTTTTGTTATTTGGTCATTTCGGAATAGATGTTTGTTCTGGTTGTGAAATTGTAAACTTTCAAAAACCATTTTGCTCTGTCCGACAATGTGAATTATTGCTGAAATGGTACAGAAAATGGTACAAAATTTTTTTTTTTTCTTTTTATGTGGTCAGACTTGTTATTTCTCAGGATTGTTTCCTTTATTTGATAATTTCTGAATAACTCTGTATGAAATTCAAACACTACAACATCAGCAGTGATTAGACTATCGCCCAGTTTCACAGACAAGACTTAAGCCTAGTCCCAGACTAAAATGCATGTTTGAGCTGTCTAACCAAAAGCAAAGTGCACTGACATTTCTTAAAATATGTCAGCAACATTTTTTGTCTCATTGTTTGTCTTTTTTTATAAGGCATGTTTATAAAAGACACTTAAATGTCCTAAGTGAACTAACGCCCTAACGCCCAATCCTGGTTTAATCGAGCCTTGTCTGTGAAACCAGGCCTATCTATCTCAATTTGAGGTAGCTAAAGCTCCGATTTTCACTCTTGCCTAAAACTACACCATGTAACTCTTGTCCCTGAAGGGTAAAACAAAATGTGTTTTGGTCGTGCTACGGCTCTAGCATCAGTTTACCAGTGTTCAGGGGTTTATTTGGAGGTTTGCCGTTTTGAATGATTTACGGTGATTTTTTTTCGTTTATTGTGACGCAAACTTTAGTCTTCATGCTAATGCAAACACATGAACGCGGAGCTACTTTTCTCTGTGTACGGATACGGATAGATCCTGACACGCACGGGCGAATGCATATATTTTTATCCACAAAATCCGTCCCGAAAGCTCAAAAATATGAATCGTAAATAGATTCATCAAAGTGTATTGGGCAAAAGTAAAGACATTTAGAAAACATTTTCTAATTAATAACAAGTTCAGATATTAATCATCTTTTTCCTGTAGACAATCTGCCAATATTATAGCCGTTTAAAAATCGGAATATCCGTCTTTTGTTGTATTTAACATGAAGGAAAAAAAATAGCAATTGCTAGTGTGTGTATATGTATTTAAACTTGCTATTTCATTGTAAATGATTCTTTTTAATCAGATCTGTCAAATGAACGCTGGATTTTTCATAGTATTTGCCTCATAGGTGTATGCAGGCGTCGCAAAAAGACTTTTGCCACATTTAAAGGGTTAGTTCACCCAAAAATGAAAATTAAGTCATTAATTACTCACCCCCATGCTGTATCAACCCCGTAAGACCTTCGTTCATCTTCGGAACACAAATAAAGATATTTTTGATTGAATCTGAGAGCTAGATCAGTCCTAATTAGACTGGCTCTTGACGGCCCATAAAGTCATTAAAGAAAAGGTTTAAATATTCCATGTGCCTACAGCGGCTCAATTATAAGTTTATCAAGCGACGAGACTACTTTTTGTGCGAAAAAAACATAAATAACGACTTGCATGCGCGAGAACTGAGACGAGGACGTTCTCATTCGTCTACTTCTTGTTACCGCTCGGCTGCTCACCGCTTAGGAGTTTTACCGCCCCCTACCGTATAAAATGAATGATGATCCATATATAAGGCGCTCCGGATTATAAGGAACACTGTCATTTTTTGAGAAGATTAAAGGCTTTTAAGTGCACCTTATAGTGCGAAAAATACGCAAATTGAAAAGCGTATATACAGCGCGCATCTTCCTCTGCTTGTAAACAGAAAGTTTTGCGCTTTCAGCTATATCAGCACATCATCTTATACGGTAGGGGGCGGTAAAACTCCTAAGCGGTGAGCAGCCGGTAACAAGAAGTAGACGAATGAGAACGTCCTCGTCTCAGTTCTCGCGCATGCGCCCATAAAGAAGTAATGGAATAGTGGAATAAAGTCGTTATTTATGTTTTTTTCGCACAAAAAGTAGTCTCGTCGCTTGATTAACTTATAATTGAGCCGCTGTAGGCACATGGAATATTTAAACCTTTTCTTTAATGAGTTTATGGGCCGTCAAGAGCCAGTCCCTTAGGCAGTCTATGTAGGACTGATCTAGCTCTCAGATTCAATCAAAAATATCTTTATTTGTGTTCCGAAGATGAACGAAGGTCTTACGGGGTTGGTACAGCATGGGGGTGAGTAATTAATGACTTAATTTTCATATTTGGGGGAACTAACCCTTTAATTTCTTTATTTAATCGAAAATTAACCAAGACCTATAAAATCATCAAGATACCTCTCCATCAAAATATATGATGTCTTGTTTGATTACTGAAAGATAATCTCCAGTAAATATGCATGTTCATGAGGTTTACTTGCACAATCCAGGCTGGCTCCCTTTAATCTAATATGCTCTTGACTACGTAGGTCTACTTGCTTTGTGAAGTGACTTGATGCTGTTGCAGACAGTAGATGTCAAGCTTGTGTTACAGGAATGCAGTTGTAGATAGATGCCTTGAGAATAGTCCGTGGCACACCAGATGCCACGCTCAACTGAAGTCTCAAATGCGTATGTAAAACAAAACTTGTGAACTTAATGATTATTTGAACAAATAAAAAGACTATAACATGTAAGAGGTGTTATTTTATTACTCGCGCACACACACACAAGAATGAATGTCAGGCCAGAACAACACAGATGTAAACGATGTGGTGATGTACATTGTTACAGTTAGTTTAATCCATATAAATGATTGAAAAGAATTATATACATATAATGAAAACAGAATATTTTATTATTAACACATATTTTGAGTCTCAAAGTCCAAGACTGATTTAGTCTCTCCAACGATGACCACATTGTATATTGCAGCACTTGTAGAAAGTTGTCATTGGTTCATCAGCAGACCTAGTTTGAATCTGCATAAAGTAGGCCCGTGGGTGTTCGCATTTTGGACAAGGTTCTTCAAAGAAAAAAGAAAAAAAAGAAAATGTTATACTCAAGCACACTTATTTAAAGCCACCTGAATGTGTGATTAAACACACATTTAAGTATTTTTATTACAGTAGGATACACTGTTTTACCTGGAGTAGAATCAACATTTTCCCAAGCAGCAGCGCCCCCAAGAACATCATCAACCTCCTTCAGTTTGGGGTACTTCCTGCAATTTACCTGTCGCAATATCCAACCAATTATTTCAACACACATCAAATATATATGTATTATAGCAGAAATGTTTTATGCTGCCACAGTCTCAAAAACCTACATTGATGACGTTTTTGAGGGATGTTCTAATAAGTGAACTTTTCCACACACACACAGCAGCCAATTTGGCTACTACATGTTCAAGTTACCCGCCATTCCGATATTTGAATATATATTTATTATGAAATCTTATCTAAATTACTGAATTGAAAGCTTTTAGATTTTTTGCCAGATAATCTCATTGTTTACGGATAATACATACATATATTAGAAATACTTTAACAATTTTAAATCCACATTTTAAAGTGCGACGCTTTGTTTTGCTAATGTTGGAGCATTCGGGTTGGAGGATATCATTTATTAATCAAAATAACCCACCAAAATGGATAGTGGGTTGAGAAGTGTTACACGCCATGGTTGATTTTAGGTCTTTTGTTAACATTTATATGACCAAAAACCCTTGGTGGACTGAGAGAGTGGCTGCTACCAAACTGGCATACTCACTTTTAGGTTCTTCTTCTTCTGCATATGTATTAACCTTGTGACTGTTTCAAAAAAGTGTTTTATATAATGAATGTAATCCAAACATATTACATCCGTCATGTGGTCATTGCCATGTGACCTACAGTTTCATGTACACTAATGTACATTTCATGTTCTAAAATAAAAGCGTACACATTGTTCACATATTACATGTATATGAATGGAACGTTCACATTGTGCAATTGTTCAAATCACGTTTACAATCGAACAATCCCTCTATTCCATGTGTAATTTAATCAAAGCTTTGCATCATCAGACAAGTTCGAATCAAACTGTCACATCACTTCATCTTTTGACTTTATTCGAATCGAACGTTCAAATTATTTATGTGTTCCATTTTCACGTGTTTGTTTATATGTTGTGGTGGTAACTTCACATTAACTTACCTTCCTCGTGACATTGTGCACATATGGGCATGTATTACACGCGAATCTGAAGCATCTTTGTCCTTCCTCCACGATTAAAACATTCCCACAAGTTGGACAAAACATAAGCATTTTCAACGGTTTTATATACTATTGTTTACTAAATACTGGTATTGTTTTTCTGATCCAATTAAAGTTGGTGTTTACACACATTCTCAGCTGCAGTTGCTAGAACTTGCTACAGGAAGGACATGATAATAAACGTGCCTCACTATTCTAGGCTCGACATGAAACGTAATATAAACACAATGAAACCTTCATTATAGAGTGTATATACGTAATTAAAATGTTATATATAACTAACAATGTATAAAATTGTTGAATTAAAATATATATTAAATAGCTAATCACGGAAATGTAATTTAAAAACGTACGCGGAACTAAAATTTGGTGCATCATATAAATCTTCCGACAGCGTATGTTGTTAATTTTACGAAGAAAGCTGAAACGCAGCATGTTGATGTTACAGTTTCATCAGAAAGAATCTCCGTAAAGTGCTTTATGTATTATTTCCAAATTCTATTTATATTCATTGTCAACTTTTATATGTCTAGTACTTCTGTATATATTTTTAAATCGGTAATTTTTTGCTTATTATAAGTTTAAAATGGATGAATTAATGGAAGAAAACCCAAAGAATGTTGACGTGGCTGACTTTGCCGAGAAAAGCGTTGTAGATGAAGTTAAAGAGGAGCAAGAAGAAGAAGAAGAAGAGGATGAGGAGGCATTGCCTCATTCTGAATTTCTTGATATCTTCGAGGAAGGTTTGGCTCTGATAGTGCAGGACCCTTTACTGTGTGACCTGCCAATTCAGGTGTACCATCAAATAGCCTTACAATCAAGTTTTTATTCGAATAATGTTAAAATCAACGATTATTAATGACTTTCGGCAGAACATTTCTTTATAATCTTTTCTGCTCCCTGAAATTTGTTCCATCTGTCCAGGTCACATTGGAGGAGGTGAACTCTCAGGTGGCTCTGGAATATGGTCAGGCCATGACTGTTCGTGTGTGTAAGGCTGATGAAGAAGTCATGCGTGAGTTTTCTTGAAGTCGCTCTGAATTGTCACACATTTATTGAATCTAACTGGAGCAAATCTCTTCACAGCTATCGTGGTTGTGCAGTCTGCTACGGTTCTGGATCTCAAGAAAGCCATTCGCAGATATATGGAGCTGAAACAACAGAGAGAGGGAGGTGTCAAGCACATCAGCTGGTAAGACATGAAAAATGTGCCAGGTAGGCTACATGATACTGTAGGTTTCAATAGGTAATCCTCCCCCCCTAATCTATGTACCCTATCAAGGAAATACGTATGGAGGACATTTCATTTGGTCTTCAACGGAGAGAAATTAGAAGATGACGAGAGAAAGCTGAAGGAGTGAGTCCAAACAATAGACTGCTTTTGTAGAAATGTGTGAACTGCACAATAGTTAATTTGCTTTTTAATTACGGGATTTAAATATGACTGTGCTTTCCTTTTATTCTCAGCTACGGGATCAGGAACAGAGATGAAGTGACATTTTTGAAAAAACTAAAGAAAAAATGAACACGGACAATCTCCAGTTATTATTTATCACTCTAATTTGTACATAGTCGAGACATTTAAAGGAATAGTTCATCCAAAAAGGAAAACTCATCCTCATGGCATTCAAAACACTTTATGTTGTTATTTTCTGTGGAACAAAAAGCCTTTTTTTTTTTTTTTTTGCCCCAAAATGCTTTTTAACCTCTTTTCCACACAACAACATTTAAGTGACTACACTGCTGTCTAACTTTAAACAAAATCAACCAAAGGAAAGATTTTTACTTGAATAACAACCTAAATTTCATAAGATTTCAGGAGTTTTGAAATAGTGTACAAGTTTTATGTTTTATAGTTTATAGTTTTTTGTCCTTTTTGGAACATGGCAGCTGTGGTCACCATGAACTCTGGACAATGTCCTTAAAAAAAACACCTTTTTTATTTCACTGAACAAACACAGGCAGCAACTACAAAACAAAAACAGAAACCTGATGTGTCATGCAAATACAAATGTTAGGCAAGGATGCAAATGTTGGCTAGGCCTAGTTGATGAACTTGATGTTATTAATATACATATATTAATATACATCCACAAAACTCACTGTAACTACACATCTTATAAGGGTCTTTAAAGTCATATTTGTGGGATTTTATGTTGCTTTTACATTGATCAAAATACTAAAATCGGAACATGATTAAAATACACGTTGTTTTTAAGAGTGCAGTTTTATTCCCCTTGTTGTAAATGTAATATAGTCTCACCAGAACCTTCTATAAAACTAAATATAAACTAAATAGACAGTTACAGGTTAAGACCCTTGTCGTGACATGCCACGAATTTAGTAAAATACAGGTAAACCACACACTTTAAATATTGTGAACATGTTCCTCATACTGTTACACTACAGTAATATGATGACCAGCCTCCTATTTCCTTTATACTGCAATGAATGTGAAGAGCGGCTGATGAGACGCAACAGCACACATGGGTAACTATTTGTCATTTTTAACCACTTTTACTTAAATAAGATATTTTCTGTTTATTCTCATTGTAGTTGTGCTTGGGTTAAGCTGTATTTTTCATATCAGGAAAAAAAAAAACTTTCTTTGAAACAGCATTCGTGACGCTCTATTGCATCTCTTTAGGAAAGGACACTGTATGAAGGTTTGAGGCTCTCTGAGGTCTAAGTGACCTGTCGTCTCTCAACCCTCAACATGCCTAAACAATCTGATGAGCATTTGGCGAATGTTTTTGAGGAGTTGAACAAGCTGTCCTTTCGCAGACAGCAGCTCACGGACAGACGCAACGTCCTGCACATGCTCATCCAATTCAAGCGAAATAACGGGCAAAATGAGCACGGTCAGTACGAGTCGATGGAACTATTTGATGATTTACAAATGAAGCCAGAGAAACTTTGAAAGACATTTGGAGATTATTTTTTTAAATGAAGAAATGTATGTGAATATAGAGATTTTTACGATGTTTTGTGCTCATACTTGATCTTTGTGACCAATAGAGTATTCCAAAGAAACTGGAGAACTTCAACAAATTGACGAGGATCTTAAAGTTCTCTCTGAAAGGAAGATTGAACTTGAGAAAATGCAAGAGGGGGGCGGCTCTCTTTTAATAGGTAAAATGAGGTTTGCCATCTTGAAATTTTTTTTGCCAAATATATTCAAACATTTGGAAATTGAACTGTGTAGTCGTAGGCCTATGTAAAAGTATAGTTGTCATATGTTTGTATGTTTTTATTTTGCAGACACGACTAGGACTGGCGTCATATTTGTAGACAGTCCACCTCCATTTCCAGGTTAGTAAGTTTTTTTTTTTTCCTTTCGGTAACGTAACACTTACAATAAGTTTTCATTTGTTAGCATTAGTGGACTACAATAGTTAACATGAACTAACAAGTCAAAATAGGTAACACTTTTTAAAGGAGTAGTTCACTTTAAAAAAAAAAAAAAAAAAAAAAACTTTTGCTGATAATTTACCCACCCCACGTCATCCAAGATGTCCATGTCTTTCTTTCTTCAGTCGAAAAGAAATTAAGGTTTTTGATGAAAACATTCCAGGATTTTTCTCCATATAATGGACTTCAATGGGAACCAAATGGTTCAAGGTCCAAATGAAAGTTTCAGTACAGCTTCAAAGGGCTTTAAACGACACCAGACAATGAATAAGGGTCTTATCTAGGACCCTTCGAGTCATGACTCGAAAAAAGACTTGTTCATTTTGATGAACGAGTTTGAACAGGAGAGTCACGAACGCTCATCACAGAACAGAGCAAGGCAAGCATTTGAGCTTATAAAACTTAAACTTTGTTTATTATTTTTTAAATGGCCGATCGTTTTGCTAGATAAGACCCTTATTCATCGTCTGGAATCGGTTAAACCCTTTGAAGCTGCTCTGAAACTCTCTTTTGGACCTTGAACTGTTTGGTTCCCATTGAAGTCCATTATATGAAGAAAATCCTGGAATGTTTTCATCAAAAACCTTAATTTCTTTTCGACTGAATAAATAAAGACATGGACATCTTTGATGAGGTGGGGGTGAGTAAATTATCAGCAAACGTTTTTTAAAAAGTGAACTACCCCTTTTAATGTAGTCTAATAAAGTACAAAATAATTTGCAAGCTACATATAAGCTAATTAAACTATAATAATTTAATTGCAGTGACAAAGAATGAAGAACTCACAATTTGTATATACAGTCTATTAATGTATTAATTACAGTTACATTTACAATTTCAACTACGTCAATACAAAATACAACAGGACCAGAGCTTCCTGAAAGCGGCTTGTGTGTTTTCTTATAGCGCCGCAGGTTATTCTGGACGTTAAGCAACTTCCTCGATACTCCTCTAAGACACAGTGTCCGTACTGTCGCCAATATATAACCACAGAGGTCACGACCAAAGCTGGCAGTGTGACCTATCTTCTGTGTTTGATATCCATGGTTTTTTGGTGAGTTGAACTATTTACTTATTTTAATTCACGTCCCGTATTACCCTTATGTCTTTCTGTCATGACATATTTGTGTTAATGACTGTTTCTTGTGTAGTTGTGTTGCGGGCTGCTGTCTAATCCCATTCTTCGTGGATTCCTGCAAAGACGTCACTCACAAATGTCCAAAATGCCGCAGTGATATAAACACGTGCAAAAAGTTCTGAGGAATGGAACTGTAATGTCAATTGGACCGAATCACCAGCAAATGTACTGGAGAGTCTTATTTTTGATTATCGCACACAACTAAGGCGGTTGGAGATGTCATCCTGAACTTTTTACAGGGACAATCCCCATGGAACTACCTTTCCTAAAGCAGGGACCAAGCCAAGCTTTTGGCAAACCTTAAAACGCTCCTGAACTATCCAATCCTGAATCTTCAGGGTGACTTTTCAGTCTTCTGGTTTGAACTTCAATGCCAAGTTTTTATTTGGGGTTATTACACTATCAGGAATATAAAAAAATGGAATCAAGAAGCCTGATTCCTGATTGCTTTTGGATGTAATGGGCTAGGAGTTCTTCGGCTGATAAAAACGATCTTGTTTTGTAGAGCATAAGTTATGATCTTTCCTTTGAGAAAAACATTATCTCTGGTACAATGTGAAATGTTAAGTTTATTTATTGTGTAGCTTTCTTTGGATCATAACTGAGGTTATGCATTGCTGGAACATGTTTTGCCCTCCAAAACACAGAACCAAGTAATTTCAGTGGTTTCAAATACAGAAACATTTTAATGATAAAAGGCTGTATATACAATAAAGATATGTACAAAGATAACCTCAAAAAAATATTTACAGTTGCACAAATACATTTGTATAAAAATGTATACTGTAAAAATATATACACTGTGCAAAATATGAGGCATATGATCTATATCGCATTTCAAAGGGTCAGTATGTTTTCAAATATTTCTCTTCTTTACCTCTTCATAACAAATAGCAATTACTCTGACATGTTTTAAAAAAAATACAAGGTCTTATGATAGGGTTTTGCTCCAACACATCTTTTTTTTCAACAAAAAATATTTATAGAGGAATAAAATGTGTGACACACACACACACACACATATATATATATATGTGTATGTGTGTGTGTGAGAACTGCATAAAGGCAGTGAAATCGCATGTTTACAAAATTAAAAGCCTTTGGGTCTCTGACAGAGACATGGTAATTACATTTCTAAATATAGAAATACATTCTTTCATTTTGACATGTTTGGATATAGAAATGATTGTCTGAGTTCATGTTCAGTACAAGGTCAAGTAAATGCATTATTTGGCATATTTTCACAAAGTGTCTTGGGGGAAATATGTCTGTCAAACACTGCAAAGAAACAGTGATACATCGAAAGGAAGTGGTGATAAAAAAAAAAAAAATTATCAAAACATTCCAGCAGATGTCGCTACATTGTCACATTTTACAGAAAATCTAAACAATATCTAAACTAACATACATATGGACTGAAATCTAATTCAATCTAACAAATAACTAGTGAAGATGAGGTTTAGGTACATTCACAAAGGCATATCACCCGCCAGCTACCTGTACTTCAGTGGTTATGTAGAAAGAAGCTTGAATTCTGAAATATAGTGAATTTAGGCCTCAGCAGTTCATCTACATTCAAAGCAAACATCTACTGCAGCAAAGAGTCTGACCAATCAAAATTCAGCTGTTATCCGATGTCATTAGTTTGCCCCTATGGATATGGAAATTTCACTGGTCCAGTTTAGTGTTGTTTCCCTGGTCAACTCACACGGCTAAATCGTGTCTCTAGTCTTTTGTCAAAGATGATAATGGCCCCTAATCCTGCTCCCTCTCTTTAGCCCCATGATGGGTTTGGTAAACAAACTTGCTCTGACCTTCCCTAGTCCACGCACTAAATAAATTTGAAATTTTCATACATTAAATGTTATTAATTAGCTGCCACAATTTCGAGTACCCTAATGCAAGGCCTAACAGCTCATTGACCGTGGAAATTGACGGTGTATATAAATGAGACACTAAACAGGTTCCTTCAAGGTGATGTAACAATTACCATGGCACAATGCTTCCATCAAAAATATTAACACAAACTCTGTGTTAAAAGTGATAGTTCACCCCAAAATTACAATTCTGTCATCATTTACTCACCTCACATGACTTCTTTCTTCAGCAGAACACAAAAGAAGATATTTTGAAGTTTCAGCTGCTTTTAAAAACATTTTTAAGTCATTGGGATTTCGTTTGAAACTTTCAAGCCCCCAACAGAACATAAAGGTAATGTGAACTGGATCAGAGTAAAACAGATTATGGAAAAAGAAGAAATGTAGCGGTTTTTGATAAAAGAAAAACTCTACACATGGATGAATCGTTCACAATAAGATCTGTAAACTGTTGAGGAACGTAGGAAAGTCGGCTATATATATATACACTC